ACTAATCTTTTATTATTATTTATTTACCCTTCTCGAATTTGTTGGGGGGTTGAATTTTTTTGGGAGTATTTTGGTGATTTGTTAATCAATGCTTTTTAAAATGACCAACAACAGTGTAATATGCAGCTTTTTATTTAGTATGAATTGAATCCGTAACTACTTTTTTAATCTGTAGAGGATTTTCTTTTCCTTTTGTTTTTCGTTGTGGTTGGGTTTTTTTGTTGTTTTTTAAATTCTTATTCGTGTTTTATCTTTTTGGGTTGTCATCAAATTTCTGTTTTGTGTTTTAGTACAAAGTTTCAAATGAGTAGGCTTCGACTCAAAACTTTTTCAAATGAATAAATTTCGAAATGAGGTCTTCTAGTTTTCTAAAACCGTGTGGGCAAGAAACATTTTTTGAAGCACCGTGCATGACATAACTTTCAGTCCTCATGTATATAGAACAGAATTGAAAATATACCCTGGAAAAGTTACCACGCGTTTTAGTTTTCTTTATATGTCTGTACATATCAGTTCTCTCTCCTCCTTTCGCCAGCAGAAAGATTTGCCTTTAAAGTACTAATTCATTGTTTGTCTCTTAATGGAAGCATGGGTTTTTCCTCTCCCTTTTTGTCTTTAAAAAGTGTTCACATTTTCCTTATTGTCCTGGTTTAAATTTACCAGGCCCGTTTGAGTGTGTGTGTGTGTGTGTGTGTGTGTGTGTGTGTGTGTGTGTGTGTGTGTGTGTTTGTAAGGGCTCAAATGCACATGCATGTGCGTTAGTCTGCGTGCAGAGGGTGGGGGGAACGGTTGAGAACGATAGTTTTCCGGCACCTGCAACACAATAAGTGCTGAAGGGCAGAGGTGTTGCAACAGAGTGACAAACACAAAGAAGGAGTGGAGATTTAAGAATGATAGATGGTGGCCAAGAAAGAAGGAATAAACCACACCAGAGCACCCGCCAACCACGCTCTGAAATTTTAGAAATTTACGCGACATATGCACACAAAATCTTTGAAAGCAAATAGGTAGCTTGAAAAAAAAAGTATATCTCCTTAATAATTTAGTTGTGAGAATGGAAATTTAAAGTGCCGCTCTATTGGCTATTTTCAGTCTCTCAGATTTAAAAAAATATTTTTTTTATAGTAGAGGGTTTTACGGCGCTCACAACTGCA